GTGTGTGTGTGTGTGTGTGTGTGTGTGTGTGTGTGTGTGTGTGTGTGTGTGTATGAATATGTATATAAGCTGTACCTTGAAAATTAAGCCCCAGGGCTATGCACTTCGAATCTGGGTCGTGTTCGGTACACATCGTTGCCTGTGAGCATATGGCGTTTCTGCAACATTTTGTATTTTGGAGAGAGACTACGCTCAAGCACTTAAATTTTAATGTATTACTCAAGGTATCATCTACGGACGTCATGTCGTCGTCGTTCCGAATCATTCTCACAATACGAACTCCTATCAGATACAAATGCACACAGAAAAAATTATGTCATTCTGTTACACTGTGCAACGATTAGAGATACACCCTAGCAGAAAGCTAAACGGACGGACCATACGAAATCCTATCTATCGAAGTATCACTATCGCTTGACAGGCAGAGAGTGCTTGAGTGGAAAAGGGTTTATATCGTCTAATACAGTTTCCAGTTCCCACACGGAACTAAAAATAAAAGGGTTTTATTTACAATGTATTGTTTATACATAAGAAACGATTTTTTTTTTTAAATAAATACAGCAGAGACTGCAGATCCCTCACTTCTGAGTTCCTGGGACGTGGCCTCAAGCCGGCCGCAGTGCCGGCCCTGCCCTGTGGTTGCAAACTTATAACTACCAGTCCGAGGCTCCGAGCCCCCAGGGGCCAGTGCCCAGGTGTCCATTGGGCCCAGGCCCCAGGCCCCAGGGCCAAGGCCGGGGGCCCAGCCGCCCTCTCGCCCAGGCAGGGATGGGTTCCGCATTCAGGCCCAGCAACTTGGTAAATACAATTTTTTTTTATCGGAATCTATTGGTTACTAAAATGTCCAAGCCACAAAGGCACAATCAAAAAATACTTCAACTAAAATAAGGAAAAACGTTTATTTCGGTCTGAATTAAAAAACATAAAAGTTGAGCGTATTTGTAAACACTAAACCGTTTTTCTCTATTTCTAAGCTATTTACGTTTTGAACTTTTTATATTACGTACGCTTTTTGTTTGGTTTAGCCCACATTAACTGAACCAATATGTAGCAGAAAAGCTTGTAAAGAAGAATATGCTTCAGTAAATAAATATGGGCAAGCCACAGTGTGCACACTGCCTAGTCAGAAGTCATAATAGCCCGCAGGATTATTTTTATTGCGCGCAGGACCGCAGGAATTTTTCTATTTATACGAAGGTTGATGAGAACAATTTGTATATAAAAGAGGAGTATATTGTGTGCAGTAGTTCATACTTTCTGGCATTTCCAAAACAAAAAGTATTAAAAAAACAGTAAAAATATAGTCTTCACATAATAAACAAATATATCATGTCTGAAACATTTGGCTTGTACTGGGTCTGTGCAACAAAAGATCGTAGCACGCCAGTCGAGTTGGCGAGTGTATCGGCCACCGCCAATATTGTCGACATGGCTGCTAAAGTAACGATCACGCAGACGTACACACGCCCTAATTATATTCCGGAAATCAATGAGCTGTCATATGCGTTCCCGCTCGATGATAAATCCGCTGTGTGTGGTTTCGAATTGACCGTGGATGGCAGGGACGTTGAGGGTGTTGTAAAGGAAAAGCTCGAGGCGAAAGCCGAATATCACCAAGCTGTGAGCCAGGGCTACACAGCCGCATTAATGGAGGAGTATAAGGCTGACGTGTTCCGTATTAAACTGGGAAATCTTCCGCGGAATGCAAGGGAGATTAGCACCACCATCACATATCTGGTGGAACTGAAAATGGAAGTCGGTTCTATCAAGTTCTTCGTGCCAACTTTCATTGGTGCACGATACACGCCTCCTGGATGTACACCAACAGTTGACAGGAACCCGAATTATGTACCTATCGTACTAACACTTGAATGGGATATGCCTTCCAGAATCCTAGAAGTGAGTTCGCCCACACATCCTGACAATGTCCAATCAAATGTTATCGATTCACACGCTACAATAACAATTCGCTCCAACACCCGCGGCGGGGACATGGTGGTGCTGTGTCGACCCGAAATACCTCATGAGGCCAGGGCATGTCTGGAGACCAGTGAGGATGGCAGTCGTGTGATGATGGTCACCTTCGTTCCCAGGCTGGAATTAAAGGAGCAGAAGTGTGAGTATATATTTGTGGTTGATCGCAGCGGGTCTATGGGGACTGGGCAGATGGATAAGGCTAAGAGCGCTCTGCAGTATTTCTTGCGCTCTCTCCCAGAGGATAGCTACGTCAACGTGGTGGGCTTTGGCACGTCGTACGATGTACTATTCCCGAAACGTTCTGCACGGTATTCTGAGCGTTCTCTCGAGGATGCAGCTAAATACGCACAGAACATGAAATCAAACTTTGGCGGCACCCAAATTTTGCAGCCTTTGCAACACATTTACGATATCTTACCAACGGTACCTCGCTATAGTAGACAGATATTCCTACTAACAGATGGACAAATATCCAACACTCAGGATGTGATAGCCCTTGTAGCTAAACACGCACCCGCCACGCGCATGTTCGGACTTGGGATTGGGACCGGTGTTAGCCATCATCTGATGAATGGAATAGCACGAGCAGGGATGGGCACCGCAGAGTATGTGACAGATAATGAGCGCATGTTAGCTGCAACAATCAAACAGCTGAAGGCATCGCAGGACCCATGTATTCAAAAGACAGTAATCGACTGGTTGGACGAAAAGCGAGCTACGTTTGTAGAGCGCGAGACGGTAGCAGATAAACCGGCGGAAAAGAAAAACTCGCTGCTAGGGTATATCACTCCATCTAAGCGTGTATCCGGCATTCTCGACAAGGTTCCTGCTACGATGAAGAAGCAAACTCCATTCAGATCTCCTCCTATTTTCAATGGTGATAGATTTCTTTCTTACTTTTTCATGGATGAAAACGATTCGGTCCCCACCAAGATCGTCGTTAGCGTGACAATCAGGGGCGAGAATGATGGGGAACCTCTTGTGATTGAGTTGCCGATAGTCAAGGAGAATACGTACGAAGGTACCGATATTGTGCACACATTGGCCGCACGGTCGATGATACAAGATTTGGAGGAGAGTGACAGCTACCTAGGTACAACGGCAACAGTCGAGGATGATCAAGTCAAGTCTGAAGTTGTGCGCCTGGGCGTTAAATACCGACTATCCTCTAAACACACAAGTTATGTCGTTGTAGATCGCTCCACCAAACAGGAAGTACCAATTCTTCACCATGCCTGCCGAAAGCGTCCCGACTTGTTTAGTAGTACACCAATGATGATGGTGTGTAAGAGATTAAGTGCGACAGGTACGGGTCGTAGCGCCAATAGATCACTCGGGCCAATGTCGGCTACAAATGCGGCACCGATGAGTTGCATGCCGATGGCCAAACTAAGAACTGCAAGGGTACCTCGTAGAGGGCATCTGTCTGGCGGAGGGGGCTCCGTCGGAATAGTACCAAAAGGCGGTATGTTCATGGCTGGCAACGAGAGAAAGAAAAAGAAAAGGAGCATACAAGAGGCAATGAAAGAACAAGAGTCAGTTCCCATGACGCGACAAAGAGGATCTGATATTCCAGATATGTGCAAGAAAATGGACATCTGTGACGACAAGGGTAGTATTGACGATATGGAAGAGGATGAATCTCCCGGCAATAAACAGGCAGCGGTGTTGTCCAAGCAGGAGAACATGGACAGGCTTGTGGCCATGCAAGCTTTCAATGGTTCATTCAACTTTTGTCAAGCTTTGCTGGCGCTGCTTGATGTAAGTGAGGTCTCTGTACGTGATGCTTTCAAAGATGTGGAGGGAGTATCGGATCTAGTAATGAGTACTGCCCTTGCGTTGACGACGATGCAGTTTGTACTAGTGGAGTTTGAGGATACGCTCAAACTGATAGAGTCTAAGGCTCGCCTATGGCTGATATCTAATTGTCAGAATGTTGATAAGGTATTACGTATTGCAAAGCATACATTGGATGTCGCCAGCTGAACATTTCTCGGCGTCTATTCGCAAAGGGTCTCTCTTTATAAATACTTTAGCGCTGCCAGCCAGTGTTCGGTGAGAGGGACTCTGCCTTATCTAATATAGATAAGTACGAGTCTACGAGAGACTCCACAGACCACATTTCTATATTTAGATACATACACCCAACAGCGCGAACACTAAATAGCCAATAGCTAAATACAAAACCTCGTTTTTGTTTTATAAAAAAAACAAAACAAAACAGAATGTTTAATTTAGAAGGCTATGACAGAACAATAGTTGTATAAATAAATATACAAAAAATATTTGCAAAACAGATGAATATATAAATAAATTAAATTCAGAGAGGAAAGTCAAAAAGTGATGACGAAATTAAATTCTGAAAACCCCACATACCATCACGAAATAAGATAAAGAGAGGGACAAATATCAAATTATTATGATAAAGAGAGGGACAAATATCAAATTATTATGATAAAGAGAGGGACAAATATCAAATTATTATGATAAAGAGAGGGACAAATATCAAATTATTATGATAAAGAGAGGGACAAATATCAAATTATTATGATAAAGAGAGGGACAAATATCAAATTATTATGATAAAGAGAGGGACAAATATCAAATTATTATGATAAGAGAAGGACAAATATACAATTATTAAGTATAAAGAGAGGACAATATAC